GGGGGGTCCATTGATCTCTGGATCATGTCTCGTGTACTCACCATGGGCGGGGTAGAGGAGTCAGGTTGGGTAGAGGTCTTATGTCTAGATTAGGTTGGGTAGTAATTTGTGTAGACATAGTGAGCCTGTCTGCGTGCGTCGCCTCGTTCGTATGCACTGTTCTGTGGGTGTGTCATGGGTGTGTCTGGTTACCATAGTAGTTTCCCGGCCTCGTGGTAAACTTGCAAGACTCCATACTTACATTGTATGATCCTGGTCCCGGTCTGGCTCTGCTCTCTACACCCCCCTTTGAGACAGGGTTGGGTGTTAGGCATATACAATTCCCAAGGGCGGCCCGCATGTCTACCTTACGATGCTTGCAGGCTAGGGTTCATCCAGGCTGGTACCTGTCTGCGTTACCATTGATGGGGGTCGATTGGGGCGTGAATCTGGGGAAGGGTCTCTCAGTAGGGGTTTCATCTTTAGGCAGGGGAGGGTGGGTGGTCACATTGATGGTAGACGGGTGGTAGACATCCATAGAGTCTGCCAGATGTGATACAGGTGGGGAATGACCACATATCTGCGACCCCTCCTGTGTCCGGGTTGTCCTCGAGAATTCGGGGTGCGCCTATGGTAGCGCTCGGGGGGAACTCGTCTGAGACCCTCGGAAGGCGTGGGTTGGTGTAGGCCTAGCTCGAGAGACAGGTCTGGGTGGCACCGCTGTAGGGCTCAACTTGTGATCCGATTAGGACAACAAAAAAAAATGTTCACAAATGATGCCCCCTGGAGTAGACAGTCCTCAGGGTTGTCACAGCCATCTGATCTTCCCACTGGTCGAGTACAACGGCAGGCACCTCCGAGGGCTATCATCCAGCCTCTACTACGATCTGGACTTTCTGGAAAGAAAAGAAAAAAAAAAGAAAAAAACATGTTTTCTAGAATTGCAATGCAACCAACTTTTCGCTGAGGATCACTTCAGAATTCCTTATAAATCTGAAGACTAGAAAAGCAAATAGAAAATTCAAACCAAAACACACCCATGTGAAGTCAAAAGCCCTCTTTTAACCCCTTCAAACCCCATGTATACCTCCCTTCCCTCCACCTACAAGGGATTCTGCCTACATCACATTCAAATATAATGGTCGTGTTTTCTCTTCGGATAGAAAGTCCGGGTGCCTTATTCGAAAGGGGCGTTATATTTGAGAAAAAAGGGAGGAAAAAATCCTCACTGGTAAAAAAAAAAAGAAAAAAAAAATTATCACTGCTGAGGTCAGTTGAATCTAACGCCCAGGCGTTATCTTCGGATGAAGATGGTAGTGTGAGTATGCTCTAAGAGTTCATCCACACTCAACCAAATCCCCCAATCAGTCCTCCAATTGAGAATTGTCGGGCTACTATTCTCCGCACACTACAGCCCCAATTGCTATGTCGATAGCCAATCCAAACCACCCCGCACACAGACCATAGCCAGCGCATAGCCAGACCATATAGCCAGCCCATAGCCAGACCATAGTCAGACCATAGTTGGCCAAATGCCAATCTAGTTATTATGTTCTAGATTGATGGAGGGACTCGATGCGGTTGTCAGATTGGATGCAGCTGCCAGAAAACTCGGGGAGGTTTTATACTTTAAACTGTAGAGAGAGTGTAGACTCTTTAGAAGAGTTAAGGTACCTCCGTTTGGAATGGTAGAAAGGTGAGACCTGAAAATTTTGGGGGTTGCCCAAGAGCTAGCTGCAGGCTGCCTTTAGAAAAAAGGGTTTTGATGTGCGAAACAAAAAAGCGTACCTCCTCTTGGAATTCGAAATCAACAAATGTGGTCCCCGCCTGCACATTTAGCGCCTGGTACCTGCGGTACGCATCCCAACTGGACAGGGTGTAATCTTTGGGTAGCACTCCCAGCAAGTAGGAGACGAGGAAATGTCCTGCTTCATGCTGCCATGTGCCATCCAACCGACATAATGTGCAGACGTCAGCAACAGCACCGTCCCTTCCTGCATGACCAGTTTCTTGCTCCTTCCTCTATTCTCATTGTATTCTTTTTTTTTGCTAATGCAAGGAACCATCAATGAGAACACCAAAGTTTCCAGATTGCAACAGTCCATACAAGCACAGGCATGATTGGGACGAGTTGAAAGCGAAATACCGAAGCCAAGAAGAGCACATCAATTGGGGGCAAGCAGAACACTGAAGTTTCTTGATAAAGGAAGTCCCACTTCTTGCCTCCAATAATCAATACAACAACAACGTTAGAGACCTACTGTGATGCGGGCCGCATTACTCTTCTTCCTACTACCTATACACACACTATGTCTACTACCGCTCTCTCTCTCTCTCTCTCTCTCTCTCTCTCTCTCTCTCTCTCTCTCTCTCTCTCTCTCTCTCTCNTCTCTCTCTCTCTCTCTCTCTCTCTCTCTCTCTCTCTCTCTCTCTCTCTCTCTCTCTCTCTCTCTCTCTCTCTCTCTCTCTCTCTCTGTGCCCACGAATCTCTCCCCGGATGCTGCTTGAAGGCTCTGTTCACACAGGCCCCCTCCGTCAACACCAGGTAAGACCCGCAATTTCTCAGCTGCACACTCTGCCCACCCCCTACCCTCCTAGCGCTTGCCCAGCTATGGCTTGTGCCAGCCATAGCTGGGCCCCCCTCAGCTGCCTTCTTCCTCGCCCGCGCACTTTTGAAGACTAGCGCTGCTGCAAGCTGCCAAAAACCCAAATGTCCTGAATGCCATGGGCTCCTCTGGTTTGCCTGTCCCTAGAGCTTGTGCCAAGGGCTTCTGAGAACCGACTGCTGCGGGTCTTGGTCATGGTCCCAGCCTCGGGAACTAACTCAAAAAGGGGCCAGCAGAGAAAACGTACCCTGGCCCCAAAAGAAGGCTGCAGCTGAGAAGATATGGGTTGACCCTCAGAGGAGGCCGGCGCTGTGCAGTTCACAGGAAGGCTGGACTGCGGCCTTTGTCAAAGTGTTGGTAAAGCAGTAGCAAGTCAATTTTGTGAAACAGCGAGGAAATTGTGTTACTCGGCTTCGTGTCAGTCATGAATGGTGGATGATGCACCTCCCCCCCCATCAGAAAGGAGTATGATTCACCTCCCCCCCCATCAGAAAGGAGTATGATTCACCTCCCCCCCCATCAGAAAGGAGTATGATTCACCTCCCCCTGCATCAGAAAGGAGTACGGTGGATGATGCAGTGACTTGGTGGGAGAGCTGAAGGGTGGGTGGCAGGTTGGGAAATAGACAAGGAGATGACAAAGCTCAAACACCAGACCATCCTAAGTTACTGTTCATCCGTTTTCACGTACAAGTACCACCCCTGAGCCAGTAGAGCAACGGATGAACAACAACTTTGGGCCCCAAATTGTCTGTGGGAGGTGAAGACTTTTCAATAATACAGGTGCCAGTACAGGTACCATGTTGATTTCTCAAATGGCCAGTACCGGTCACTTTCAGGCATTGTTGAAGGGGGCCGAACGTTCTGTGCCGTGCAGTTACATGTAACGGGCAAATAAGAGCAGAAAAAGAATGAGCTGCGACAGCAAAGGGAAAGAAAATCTAGAACTCAGGATGCAAGGTAAGGGTAGGAAATCGGAAAGAGAGGTTTCTTATGTCCACAGCGGGAGAGAGAGAGAGATGGCAAGTGGTAGAGAGAACTCTCTCTCTCTCTCTCTCTCTCTCTCTCTCTCTCTCTCTCTCTCTCTCTCTCTCTCTCTCTCTCTCTCTCTC